ATATTATTAAAAAATAAATTACAAAAATTAAATCTATGATATAAAAACATTTTAGACTAACAAATATGGGAATTTTCCTACTTTCCCATATTAAAAAATTAAATTTAAAATATAAAATATTAATATATATTTATTAAACCAGAGCCGGTCTGAAAATACTAGAAAACCAACCAACTCGGGTTGAGTTTGATCGGATTGTTTATTAAAAAGTTAAAATATAAAATAATTATATACTCTTATGTATTTCTATTGTTTAACTTTTGCTTAACAAAGCACGGGTCCCCGTCACCATGCCTCTCCTTGCTCCATTATCTCCACCTTGCATTCTCTTAAACTTTCTCTCCTCTCCCCTTTCCACCACTCCCATTAAGCCATGTAACTCAACTACCTAAAAATATTCATATAATCTCTCTCCTAAGGTATCTCATTTAAACCAATAGGAAAGTATCATGTTGTCCCACTTAGGGGTGAGCATTATTCGGTTAAAACCGAATTACCGAACCGAAAATTTTGGTTTCGGTTTTTTCAGTTTTTCGGTAATTCAGTTAGGTTAATTCGATTTTTGGGTAATTTGGTTAACTGAAAAAACCGAATTAACTAAAATTTAATATATAATATATAATATACAATATATGATATATAATATATAATATGTTTAATACTTATATATTAATGTATTATAATGAAATTAAATTTCATAATATATATTATCGGTTATAATATATAATATTATGTATATATTAATTAAATTCAGTTTTAACCGAAATAACCAAAAATTTTGATTTGGTTATTTATGTTTTATTATAATTCGGTTTTCATTTTTTAATTTCGGTTTTAAAAATTATGGTTTATTTAGTTCGGTTTTTAACCAAATAAACCGAATGCTCACCCCTAGCCCCTCTCCCTAATCAATTCCTAAAATGCATCCCCCCCAATCTATATCCATTCTCCCTCATTAAAAATATTTATATTAATTAATAAATAGTTAAATACGGTTAATATTTAATCCCACCCATATTCAGAGAGTATTAAATAGTGTTATTACCAAAGATTAATAAATATAGTTAGTAAATTACTAAAAATTAAATATTCTTATTAGTGTGGTTAGTAAATTACCCAAATTTAAAAATATTGTTATTAATTAACTCATTAGCAACATTTTATAGAAATTGAAAACTCTTTAACTAATTTCTATAAAATTGAGAATTATATTTAACATTTATCAGAAAGTATAAAATTTTAGTTATTGTTATTATTATAATTAATAACCAAATACAAATGGGGGAACAAAATATTATAATGTTAGAAAATGAAATTATTAATTAATTTATATTAAAACATAAAAGATAAAAAATATATTTAATAACAATTTAAAAAATTTCAATAAATCCCCATAGTTACACAAATGTAATAGTTTTTTCAAAAATTTTCATAAAATAACATTTTTGAAATTAAAAGATATAAAGTATTTGAAAGTTTATTTAAAATGCATTAAATAATTTTTGAAATTTATTAGAATATTTTGGAAATTATAGGAAAATTTATTACATTTGATGGATTTTGGAAAATCATTGAAAATTTATGGAAAACTATGGGAAATGGAAAAGTATAATTTGAACAAATAATTACACAAATTATTAAGATAAATTAGTATAATATTGGAAAAAGGAAATTATTGGTTAGTTTATATTAGAAATTATAAGATAAAGTAGTATAATTCTATAAGTAAACCATTTAAAAAGAAAATAAATTATCTAATAAAAATTTAAATAAATTTGAATAAATTTTCAAAATTACACAAGTACAATAAATTTTCCAATATTTTTATAAAATTATATTTTTGAATATTAAAGATGATTTAGTGTACTTTTAGAAATTTACCATGTGGTTGATACTCAATATATCCTTTTGATCATTTCTATCATGAAATTGAATATTGGGTTGACAGGGACAGTGTTTTCAAAATTGGCTCAAACTAGATGGTTAGATCAGAAAAATTGGGAATTGGACACCATTTTACCTCAAAACCGCTTTTTGTCCAAAAACCGTTTATTTGGTTAGCGAACTACTAACTTGGGCGGTTGAACCATCAACTCAGACAACCGTTTTTGGCCTTTTTTATTTTTCTAATTTTTTATTTTTTTGTTAGAGCGGGTCATCAGTTCGAACCGAACAGTCAAATCGTTCGACCCCAGAACGGTTCCTTGTCTAGTCCAATTTTAAAAACCCTGGACGGGGAGTGGGCGCCTTACCTTGAGCTTGGCTTAGTGTGCGACATGGCCTAGCCCAAGGCTCGGTCCATGGACTAGCCCGACCCATGGCATGGCACGGGTCAGTGTAGGCTCGAGCCGTGGGCCGTGCTGAACCGACCCCCTAAATTATTCTAGAGGAGGGAGGCACGACTTGGGACGCCCTGTGGGCCAGCACGACATGACTCGCACTTTGTGCGGGCCACATGCGGGTTGTGTCATGTCAACCCAGCACGACCCAATTTACACCTCTACTTGAACCCGCCCAATATTGGGGAAGGGATAAGGAAATTCGAGGATTCTCCATCCTTGATGAGGAGTGGGGTGCTTTGCCCTTGAACTCGCCCGACTTTGAGGAATAGTTACCTTGCCCTGAACCCGCATGACAATGGGTATGGGGTAGAGTGTCTTGACTATGGGGTAGGGAAAGGGATGGGGTGCCCTGCCCTGAACCCACCCCATTGTCATTCCTATAAAATTGTTAATTATTAATGGAATCAATAAAAAATGATAGCTTTTATAATTATTTTTATTTATTTAAAATTAATAAAAATTTCATCTAAAATAATAAAAAGAATAAAATTATTAATAAAATTAAATTTATTAAAAAATATTTATTTATATTCAATTATTAATAATTATTTTTTATAAATCAACATTAAATAAAAAATAAAGAAATTAAATATTTCAGATTTTCACGTGCACCACACGGGTCCTTGCTAGTATATTTTATATTATAAGACTCCAACTACTATGGCATTGGAAGGATATTGTGCCTAAGACATTGATAACCAACCAACTAATATATGTGTTATTATCAGTAACTAATCAATTAACATTCATTCAAATGGCATGAACCCAGTTCGTATTTGGTTTCATATGCTCAAAACATGGCACAAGAGTGGCTAAAACCTATATACTCCAAAATCGCATTGTAGGCTTGTTTAGTAATACCAGCATTTTATATCTGAATGCAGATAATATTGTTTTGAAATCTGAATATATATGAATTTTGAAAAATGACTATTTTATAATTTTATCCATGTGAATGAATTTGTTTGGTTTATTACATATACGTTAACATTGAAATATTATATATATGGTTAATTTTATGACATAATCATAAATGTTTATGCTAATTATTGAAAGAAAATTAATAAAATAATTAATTATTTGTAAAATAAAACAATTGATACTTTTAATAATTATTCATTTAATTTAATAATTAGTTATTAGTATTTATGTAATAAGGTAATAATAACAATAATTATTATTTTGAAATCTGAATATGAATTTTGAAAATAAAATAATTAATATGAATATGAATATAATTATTAGCAAATAATATATAAATATTAAATGTTCTCAGCCATTTAAATTAGCAGTAAATAACTGTTGAAAATTAATTATTCATTAAATTAGTACTTAAATAATATTGGTAATTTATTTATTTATTAATTACTTATTATATTATATTGTTGATTATTTAAACTGTGATTAATGATTAAATAATTGATTAATAATAATTAATTAATACTCAAGTAATGTATTAATCAATTTAAGTAATCATTTTATGATAAAAATTGGTATAAAATTAAAAGTTATTAGAACATCATCACCACCGTCATCATCATAACTTTGTACCACGTTGTTTCATTAAAACGGTTCATGGGTCAAATTCGGACTTGACTTTTACCAAAATTTGAATGAAGTCAACCCGAAGCCTCGAACCCGATAGTGTAAAGTCAGGCCGGAAGCCCGGCCCGAACAGGTCTAGTTGTTTGGCCATTATGATCAATTTAATGCCATCTCCGTTGTTAAACTGTGTACGTTTAGATCTTTGACCTTAGTTTCGTATTAGGTGAATATAAAAGTATAAAACCGTCGAGAATATTTTGTGCGAAACCAAGCAAATTTCCCAGAGATCGAGGGGAGAGACCATCATTTCTTAATTATTATTTTGTTGAAAAGGGTCCAAAGGCTCCGCCCCGGTCCATTCGGATCTGCTACCCACACCGCCACACGAACACTATACAGCCGTACATTGAGAACATTCACGTGCAAGTACGAGGAGAGATGTTCCCAATGTGCGGGAAATTGCAATCCCGAAAACGCAACTCAACTTTGACGAGTGGTTTGTTTCTTTCTTGGCCACGAAGTCAGGAATTGTTCTGTTCTCTCTTCCGTGCTCATCGTCGTTTCTTATGCATGCCTCTGAGATTTCATTCACGCTGTCTCCGTCTCTCTCTCTCTCTCTCTCTCTCTCTAAATCCATTATTTTCTTTGGTTAATGCTTAGTGTGTTTAGCCTGCAAATCTTGCTTGCTAATGGCGGCTATACTTGAGCTTGAAGACCATCCTAAAAACAATAAAAATCGCAAGAGGATCGAAAGGAGAAGAAAGCTTCTTGTTGGAGACAAAGTTGAGGTATACCGTATCATCGTTTTTCCTTCGTATATATATATATATATATTTAATGTTGGGCTCTGTGTTTTATGCGATTTTTTTTGAGTTTCTTTTATTACGTTCCAGTTTTTTTTTTTTTTTTTGTGTGTGTTCTCTGGAGTTGAAGCAATTGTTCTTCGTTTGACTATAGCTGCATTGTTCATGCATTGTGTTGTTTATCCGGGTTACCTGTTTCTATTCTCTTGCTTGATTTTGGTGAACTAGTTGAGGGTCGCCGTGCTTTGTTGGGATTTTTCTGTCCCGATTTCATGAGTGATTGAGTGGGGAGGACCTTTTGCTTTATTTAATGAATGGTGACAAGCTAGTCTATCACCGTGTTTCGCTTTCACTTTTATTTTCGTTTACTTATAGTGAAGAGGGATTGCAGGTAAGGAGTGTGGAAGATGGGTTCGCTGGGTCGTGGCACAATGGAGAAGTCATTGACTGCGGCCATAATTTCCGTTATATTGAGTACGAGTACATTCATCTTGACGACGGCTCCGCGAAGCTCATTGAATCGGTTACCGTCACATCGGCCATCGAAGGTTCCATTCCCAGGAGTCGGACTCCCCCTAACTATCGTGGCTGTATAAGGTCGGTCCCCCCTCGTCTTCGTTTTGACGAATGGAGCTTCCACTATGGACTATGCGTTGACGCATTTCACGAATGTGCTTGGTGGGAAGGCGTGGTATTTGATCACGACGATGGCTCTCTCAGCAGGCTGATCTTCTTCCCCGACTTGGGTGACGAAATGAGACTAGGAATAGATAAGCTTAGAATTACCCAGGACTGGAATGAGGTGACGGAAGAGTGGAAGCCTCGTGGGTTATGGGTGTTTCTTGAAGTACTTGAAAAATACGAGCGGGATTGGCCCCAATTTGCTTCGCCGAAGCAGATTTGGTACGATGTAAGGACTAAGGAGGAATTTTTGGAGAAAATTTCAGAATGGACTGCTATGACGAACCTGTGGGACTGGGACAATTTGGTGAGGGAGGTTGTGAGTGCCTATATGGATCTAAACGTGGAAAAATTTCTGGACTATATCAACTCTGATTATGGGGAAGATTTGGCTGAGGTGCAGAGTAAAAAGAGGAAAACCATTGAGCCTGGATTTTCATTAACCGGGGGTGTTTCTGGAGGACTGCTTTCTGAACCTGCTGGAGAAATTATTTTGAAGCCTGAAGGATATTTGACTGATTCACGGACTAAAAAAAGGAAAATTAGCTCTTTGGGATTATCTACAAGTGATGTTGGTTTTGGTTGTCAGTTAGAGGAACCTAGGGTGAATGCGGAGGGAGGTGATATTTCTCAGACAGAGGATAAGGGGTTGGTTATTAATCCACTGAATGGCACCAATTCATGCAGCCATGATGAAGATGTATTCGTGCAACCACAGGATTTATTGGTGTTACCTTCGGATTTGGACCTATTTGCTTGTGCTAGTGGTAGTGCTAATGAAGAAGGGGTCAGAATTCCATTGGGCATTGAAGATGCCACTCATGGAGTCATTCAAAACAAAGCAGATGGTCACTGGGGCAGAAATGATCCAACTAGCAATGAACACATTGGAAATCCTACAACTCCTAATGCAAATGCAATGTCCCTTGTGGGTTTTATTACAAGTGGCAAAGAGGAAACTGAAAATACCTTAAGCAGAGAAAGTGAGGCTCAAGGAGGAGGATCTGTTCAAGATGATCGTAAAAGCAGGAAGGATTCAAGTTGTAGTGAGCCAAATAACAAACCTGCACATTTGCAATTGGGTGCCAACAGTATATGGCTACCTGTTGTCCCTGACCTGATTCCTGGAGCTGGTTACTTCCCTGATGCAATTGCTAAATATTCACGTAATCCAAAGAATAGGAGCAAACAAACTGGTACCAACCGAGAAGCTAAGATGCACCTCTTATATTTAGGCTGGAAGGTTGAGTATAAAAAATATAAGAAAATGTACAGATTTCGCTTTACCTCACCTGAAGGGAAGCCCTATCTTTCTCTTATTCAGGTCTGCCAAGCCTTGATGGAGTCTGCACAAGATGTTCAGATTCAGAACCCCCATAATGACCAACAAATTTTGGCTTGTAAACCTGCAGAGCTATTTGATTCTAGTTCCAAACCAGTCTCTTTGCCATGCGAAGGTGATGCCTCCCCTTTATGTGCAGAAACTTTGATGTTAAACAGGGAGGAAGTGGGAACTGGACAGTTAATCAAGGAGGACGTGGGAACTGAAGAACCTTGCAAGGATATGGTACATATTGAACCGAAACATTGCCCTCGAGCAGTTATAGTTTGGTATCTGATTGGATTGAAGGAGCAAACAAAAGAATATGACAAAATTGGAGCAATTAAAAGTTCAGAATTGAGATCAAAATCAAGGGGACATCTCTCATCCCTTGGGTGGAAATTCTGGTATGTCAATAAGAATGGGAACCGTGAGATGCGCTATTGTTCTCCAAAAGGGAAAGTTTATAATTCTCTTCGAACAGCTTGTGCAGGATGTATTACAGGAGGAGGGTGTCCTGAAAGTAGTACCATAATTGAGCAGTTAAAGAAGAGAGTGACTGCAAGGAAGGTTTCCAAGCACCAATTAGTTGTTGCAGAATTTGCATCAGAAATTATATGTCAGAAATATGAGGAAAGTATGCCACTGCCAGACTATCAGTCTGAAAAAGATTCTACAGAGTCTTGTGGTTCATCACAATTAACTAAGCAAGCAGAGAACTTAGACTCTACCAACCCAACTTCTGTGCTGCGAAGCCTGCGATCAAGCAAAAGAGCAAGGCGAGTTGTGAGATCAAGTCCTATGCATCACACACCTAGAACCATTCTATCCTGGCTGATAGATAACAACGTGGTCTTGCCAAGGGCAAAAGTGCATTACATTGGGAGAAAGAATTGCCCTCCAATGGCAGAAGGGCGTATTACATGTAATGGAATCAAGTGCAGTTGTTGCCAGAAGGTGTTTACTCTCAGTGGCTTTGGGGTTCATGCAGGTGGCTCTTATCACCGACCTGCTGCCAATATTTTTCTGGAAGATGGAAGGTCTCTATTACAATGCCAAGAGCAAATTAATAAGCCGAAGATGTTAAAACCAGAACTACATAGGAGAATCAAGAGTAATCGACACAGCTATGAGAATGACTACATATGCTCAGTCTGCCACTATGGGGGCACACTATTATTATGTGATCAATGCCCATCATCATTCCATTTGAGCTGCCTCGGTTTAAAGGTGCCTTTTGTCTTATTCCTATAGTCATATATAGGTTCTAATCATTTGAACTTTTTATGAGAAATTTGATTACATCAGTGAATCTCATTGAAAAATCTTTTTGCTTTGGGTAGGATCTTCCTGATGGAAAATGGTTTTGTCCTTCCTGCCGATGTGGGATATGTGGAAAGAGTGAATTCAATGGAAAAACTGAGCAATTTACAGATGCATCTGTTCTTTATTGTGATCAATGTGAACGTGAATGTGAGTTTAACTCTTACCTCATTTATATGTGTGTTCTGTTTGTCTGCTTGTCTGCATGCTCATCCTTGCCTGTCTTTGTTTGTGTACATGCTTGTGTAGACTTATGTTTGTATGTACATGTTTCGGCCTATGCATGCATAATTGGAATTACAACGTTCAAGGTATACTTATATATTTAGTTTGATGTAGATCATGTTGGATGTTTGAAGAGAAGAGGACATACAAAGGTGGAAAGTTGTCCAAAAGGGAATTGGTTTTGCAGTAAAAATTGTGAAAAGGTACTTGAAATTTGTCTATATTTATTTTCTTCCAAGGTTGTTAAGAAAGTGGAACTTCAGTCTTAATCTAATTTATTGATTGCTCTTTACCTTTGATCTTTGTAGTCCTTGCTTAATTTTGTGCATTTGGTGTCTGTTTTCTTCATAAGCACATTATGCCATATATTGAAAAGATTTGTATTCATGTAATGATGAAGAAAAAAATGGATCTAATAAAAAATACAATCAAATTGACCCAAACAATAACTGATGGGGAGCAAAAATAAGAATAATGACATCTTGGAAGAAAATCCATAATTTCTTGAGGTTCTTAGGTTTACTATCCAGCAATGTAACAATTAAAGTTGCATGGGTCATTGTGTTGAAAAGATTTGTCAGTATTATCAATCATTTACGAAGGAAATGTAGCAATAAAAAAAAGCAAAAAAAACTGGAACAATCCTATGTAACCATGCAGCTTACCAATCAAATTGACCCTACATATTTTTAGTTTATTACAAGCTTATCTGGCCCCCTGAAAGTTTTTTTTCCCTTGGCTCCACCTCTGGTTGGGACCACTGACCACTTAAACTAATTTCTGTTTGCGGCAGATGAGCATACTGACTTTTTTTTTTTAATTTTAAAATAACTGAAGTCACATATGTATATTTTAAAAATGATAATATGTGTATGTGCTTGGTAAATCTTTCCTTCTATTGTTAAAACTATATATATACACATTAGGTTTTGGGAGGTTGGTTGGCTGGGGATTGAGAAGCCTTGTGATCTCTGTCCAAGAATGTATAGATTGAGTTGTAGAAACATTTCAATTGCCCAATGCTATGAAGTTTCTCATGATGGAGCGGTGTGGTGCCCAAAGTTCAGAAGGCCTCTTTTTGACTAGGAAATGGAGGAACGTATTAATATTCTTTCTAAGATCCAGGGAGCAGAATTGAATTTGGAAAGAGTTGATTCTAGATGGAGGAAAGAATGTAGTAAGGGAGTGTTCACAGTGAAGTCTTTTTACAATGCCCTGGCAAGAAATCAAGTAGAAAGGGATTTTGTAAAAGGTGTTTGGGGTAATCCTGTCTCACCTAGGGTAGAGGCCTTTGCTTGGCTAGTGTCACTAGACAATATTCTTACACAAGATCACATCAAGAGTAGATGTTATCATTTGGCAGGAAGATGCTATCTTTGTCTAAATGTGTTTCACCTTTGTTTGGTTGCTGCAAGGATTATTTGGGGGTTCTGTTTTTCAATCCTCAAAATGGACATGTGGATCCCAAGATCTTCAAGTGAAATTGTTGTATGCTGGTCAGCCTTGAATGGACATAGGAAAGCAAGGATTATCTGGAGCTATGTTTCTGTTGTAGTTTGTTGGGAGCTTTAGAAACAAAAAAGAAATAGAGGCATCTTTGAAGACACACAAATCTCATGATCATCTTGCTTTTAGAATATGTAACAGGATTATAGAATGGATCATGATTATTCCAGATTTTGAGGGGGATAGTAAACAATCTTCGGTTCTAGTTCATGGAATGTAATGAATATTGATATTGGGAGGGGGATTGAAGTTAATTGTATGATCCTGTTTCGGATTTTGTTGGCCTTTTCTGTTATTTTCACTTTCTTTGGGTGATATATCATCACCTGTAGCTTTTACATTGTAATCCTTTTTGTTATTGAATATTTTTTTTCTTTTTCTACTGATAAAAAAGTAAAAATTTTCTTTTTCTCTATTGCCAAAAAGGACTGTGGAACAAAACAGTGTGACAATGAGCAACAATTATGCAATGGTGTACATGTAGAATGTGGAAAAGCTTAAAGCAACATGTGAGTGCATTATAATTGCCAAAATACATGGTATACAGAAACCTTAGACTTCAAGAACTTTTATTCTCTTCACTTTTTGGTCGGTAATTTTTATTCATTTAGTTAAATAGCATTTCAACTCAAATAGTGACTTCTGCAATAATAGAACTAGATTGACCTCAAACAGAGACTGCTCGAGTGTGGTTAGACTCTAAAAGATAGTTCCTAGAACAACTAGTATGCAATTTTAAAAACTGTATATGACTCTTAGAAATACATTAGGAATTCTACAGAGACAAAAATAAATATTTGAGAAACTTCAGAGGGATTTTTTGTGGGAAGGGTCTTGGGGAGAAAAGAAGTTTCATCTAGTGAGGTGGGATAGGGTGTGTAGGCCAAAAAGAAATGGTGGTTTGGGTATTAGGAGGGTCAAAATCTTCAACAAGGCTCCCTTAGGTAAGTGACTGGAGGTTTGGAGAGGGAGTCTCTATGGAGGAGGGTTGTAGTTAATATGGGCTGGTGAGGTTTGGGTGGGAGTCAAGGGAGGTTTCCAGATCTTACAGGGTGTGTCTGGAAAGGGATATTGCGGTTCAATCAAGAGTTCAAAGCTGCAGTCAGGTTCAAGTTGGGTGATAGGTCAAGGATAAGATTTTGGGAGGATGAGTGTTATGATGTGGGGAAGCTGTGTGAGGTGTTCTCGAAGCTGTACAGGCAGACTGAGCATCACATTGCAGTTGATAAGTGTTTCAAAATGAGGGGAGATCAGATTGTTTTGTGCCCCAAATTTGGAGACCATTGCTGGATCAGGAGATAGAAGAATGCAATCATCTGTTGGAAAAGTTACAGAAGGTTGAGTTTTCACCCTCCTTGAGGGATGGACTGTGGTGGAAAGAGTGCAGGAATGGGGTGTTCACTGTGAAATCCTTCTACTTGGTAATGGCGAAGGATCAGCTGGTCTCAGAACTCATTGGATGGGGGGAGTTTGGGGGAACCTTGTTCCACCTAGAGCGGAAGCATTTGCTTGGTTGGTTGCTTTGGATAGTATTTTAACAGTTGACTACCTAAAAAGTAGGGTTTTCTCTCTAGCAAATGTATGTGTTTTATGCTGTTCGGATGAAGAGATTGTTTTCCACTCATTCTTCCTTTGTAAGAATGCACAAATCATTTGGAAATTTTACTCCTCTCTATTTGGGCAAAGAGTGTTTTAGCCAAGGTCTACAGAAGAAATTTTTTCCTCTTGGCCAAGATTTGGAGGAAGAAGGAAAGCAAGGATGGTTTGGAGCTGCATCCCCTTTGGTGTGTGTTGGTCCTATGGAATGAAAGAAATAGAAGGCTTTTTGAAGACAAAGCTAAAAGTACTGAAACTTTGGTGGCTCTGGTGGGAAAGCTAGTAGCGGATTGGGTTTGGATGCTCCCAGATTTTGATCAAGCCAGGAGATCAAGTTTGGGGGAGAATTTCTGGAGTATGATGGAAATTCAACCTGTGTAATCTGTTTCAGTTTCTGGTTCAGCCTATATATTCTAGACCAGAGTTTTTTTTTTTGCTTGTATTGCTAGGTGACATCTTGTCACCTATTGGCTTTGGATTGTATCCAATTTTTCTGTTTAATGAATTTTCTTATTATTCTTCAAAAAAATAAATTTACATATATCAGGGGTATGCCATGAATAAATTGTTACTTCTAAGAGATCATCTGCTAATTCTTGCTTCTACAGAATCTCTTTTTGCTATAGCTAACAAAATATCCTTGCTTTGGAGAATGAATATGTAAAAAGGGCGTTGGTTGTTTCTATTATTACTTATGGTGGATTAGATTTTATTTATTTTCTTTTTCTTTTTTGATCAGTAACCAGATCAAAGAAAGTTTATTCATGACATGAGAGAAAACCCCCAAACTTTCAAGTGGTGGGACAGTAAACAGCATGTGGCTGACTGAGCCTGATACTTAAATGTATAGACATGCCAGTTTGAATCAACCTTGTGGCTGCTCCCCCAGGCCTGGTGGTCCGCAATCAGCCTTATCACATGCCATATATTTTCCTTTATCTTTAATATGGTTAACATCAGATAGTGTATGACATAAATAATTATATTGGTTAAAATCTTGTTAACATCATTTATGAGATACTATGACTTGTACAGTTATAGGTAATGAACTCTTGGAGAGATGACTAATATAATGAATAATTTCCTTTCCAACTATTAGCTCACTCATCATGTAATTTCTGATTTTGTGGTCTCCTTGCTGCAGATATTTATGGGCCTTAGAAAACTTATTGGAAAACCACTTTCTGTGGGTATGAGTAACTTTTCTTGGACTCTTTTGAAATCCATTAAAGATGATAGTTGCCTTGATTCATCTGGTAATGAGGACACGACAGAGCATCATAGCAAGCTCAATGTTGCACTTAGTGTAATGCATGAATGCTTTGAGCCTATTAAAGAACCTCGAACCAAGAGTGATCTTGTTGAAGATGTTATATTCAGTAAATGGTAAGCTACCTCTTTAACACACTAAAATATTTTTAGTTCTGATATCGGTGATCTTCATGACCCTCATTTATCCAGGGCAACTTTACATTATTTATCTTTTGTTTTTAGTATAAACTATATAATAATATGCAACTTACATATGATACTCACATTTTCACTTCCTTATCTTCAATTATTTTAACTATGGGTGACAACTTTCAAAATAGCCTGATAAACAAAAGGTAGTAACTGTGGTATGAGGCAATTATGTATGCTCTTGTTTCTCAAAGACAGGTTTAATGGTAGTAGAACTAGCAGAAACAGAGGGAAATATTGGCATAGAACAACTATATTTAGAGTGTTAAACTTTTAATAATAAATAGTAGGGGAGAGGGGTATTAAAAGTAATTTAAGATTTTCTAACTGATTGTCATCTTAAATTTTGCATTTAATGGTACTTTAACAAAAGAAATTAAATTTGGCATTCAAATTTCACTCTCTAAGTCAACATGACATTAAATTCTAATGTGTATTTCTCCCATCTTTAGACCTGGCAATTGGGTTGGGTGGGTCGGGTACGGGTTGGTTTAAGACACATTGGGTTGGTTTCAGGTCAGGTTGAATTTCAGGTTGGTTCAGCAAATGCTAAACCCTAACCCTAAATGTTTGGGTTAGGGTTGACCCACGGGTCAATTTGGGTCATCCCAAAAAATAATTGCAATTTTAAAAAATAAAGAAAAATTCCAAAATTAAAGGAATTAACCTTAAATTTCCAGAAATAAAATAAAAAACTTGAACATTTAACAATTCAAGGAGTAAACAATAAAGAGTAAAGATTAAAGAGTGGAAACTTCTAACAATACATAAATGGTCCCAATTAGAACTAACAATTGGGTCAACGGGTTGATCCATGACCCAACCCAACCCAGTTTTTTCCGGGTTGGGTCAGGTCAGGTCATTCTCAAATTCAGGTAGCTAAATATGAGACCCTAACCCTGTTTTTTCGGGTTGGGTTGGGTCAACTTTTTCCAGTTATACCCATCCTATATCTCTTCAAATTTAATACCATGCTTTAGCATTGCCATTTGTTAACAAAAAATGTATTAAACAGTTAATTACATAAGGAAATGTTTTATGAGACAGTTCATGTGCCTCAGATAAGCCTTAATCCCAACTATTTGGGGTTGGTCTAACATACATCCATCCATGGCACTTATAATTCCCCCTATCACTTTTTATACTTTTGAGTTTGTTATTATTCTTTCTATCAAAAAATCCTGTCACTTGAAGAAGTTGTTGGTCATGGGTGAAGGAACACCTTCACTTTGTAAATGTTTCCATCTAGAATGTTGATTGTCCACATGCAAAGTACATGCTCCCACCCTTTATATGCAACACGTAGCATACACTTAGAGTCTATATGCTTCCTTTATTACACACTTAGATTTTCATATTAGTATATTGTGTATGCAAGTTATTATGGAGTTGCTCATATTAACATTACATATTATCCATTTCACGATACTGAACAGAATGGAATTGCGGAACAGGATTCAATGTAGCTGGCCGGCCTGGCCCCATATAATTGGGACATGGCTTAGGGGCTGCTTGATAATGGCTGAAGTTGCTGAATTGAAAGAAATATTACATAGCCTTTTACTGGATAAGATAATCAAATAATAAAATATTTAGAGGTACATTAATCAACCCAACTTGGCTCACAACCTCCTTAATAAATTATTCACTAAAAACAAAGCAATAAGTCATTCAGTTCCATCACTTCAACTGTTATCAAACAGCCCCTTAGATGCTACTGCTGATGCATGTATTTATGTATGTATGTATGCATGTAAAAATGTAGAGTAAATCTTGATTTGGAGAGACTACCCAAATTCTGGGGCCTCTATAACTTGAGACTTATCCCATGTTTTTAGGATTGTAACCCACTGTTTTATAGGTCCCACCTAGTAGATTGGCCAAGGTAAGAGTCAGCATGGACAGAAGATTAATATCATCTTATTGTATTTACTTGGATATTGTAAAATAGTTATCCTAAAGTAAAGAAAATCTATAAAATAATGCCCAAATCAAATGGTTAAGAATCACCGGACTGTGTTAATTTTTTGATGCAATGGAAGTTTTTCTATAGGACCCATTGAATACTGAGACTTGATCCTTGAAACATGAGATAGATGGCAATAGTTGCCTAGGTGACTAGGTAACTTTAGCTGGGTGCCTTGTTTGAATGCCTTGCTTATAGCAACAAGGCCCCAGGCAACATAATGACAAGGTGGGCACTGAGCTCCTTATTATAATATCATTCATATGGCTACATCTTACTAATATGTGTTTTAATACATTTTATGACATTACTACATATAATATGATACTTTGTTTTAAGGGTTTACCATTTAAATTTAAAAGATCGAAGTGTTTTGGGAAGGGAAAAAGAAAGAAGAGAAATATAAAGAGTCTTTTTTTTTATTATCTCTATTCCCTCTCTTACACTAAATGAAACAGCGGCTCCACCTTTGTTATTTCCTCTTTTACTTACTCTCCATCTTAAATTTTATTATATAAAATTGTAGCCTTCTTTGGTAGCTAATTTGCTGAGGGTGAGCCTTAGTGCAATGGTTGGGTTGTTCCATTGCGACCTGGATGATCAGGGTTCAAATCTTGGAAACAGCTTCTCTGTGTCCACAGGGGTCAGGCTGTGTACATCTGTCCCTCTCCAGACCTCGCATTGGAGGGAGCCCTGTGCATTGGGCATCATTATATTAATAAGAAAAAAGAAAGTGTAGTATAGCATTATATTATGAAAATTTTCTATTAAATACTTTTTTTTGAAGAAGGTAAAGTATTGCATTATATTAATAAGAAAAAAGAAAGTGAAGTATAGCATTATATTATGATAATTTTCTATTAAATACTTTTTTTGAAGAAGGTAAAGTATTGCATTATATTAATAAGAAAAAAGGAATTACATTGGTCCATATACAATGAGAACCTGTACATTGGGAATATACAAAAACGGTAAAAGAATTATCTAAAAAAAGGTCCATCTTCCAAAAAGGAGCTAAGATGGACATCCTGAAAAGCCCTTTGTACACCTAACCAAGAACATAAAATGCTCCTTTAAGTTTTCTCTTTATTTATTCCAATTCAGTGTATTTGTTGTCACAAATACGATGATTCTTTTCCCTCTAGATAGACCATAAGTATTCCATAACATTTTACCCCTATTGCTCATACCCTCCAGTCTCCGTCCTTGCAACAGCTGTATTACTGATTCGGGAAGATAGAAGTAAATTCCAATTTCCAAAGCAAGAGAATGCCATAAACCACAGCTGGTAAGAGAATTTGCAGTGGATGAAAAGGTGACTTGAAGATTCCAGGACTTCATTACAAAGAGAACATAGATCATTAATCAAATGCAACCCTCTTCTTATCAACTGATCTGTAGTCAAGCATATTCCAAGTGATACAGTCCAGACTAGGAAACCTATTTTCAAGGGGAAGGGGGTGTGGGTGCACCATATTCTAGCTCAAGGGAAATCATTTTCCTGCTGAAGAGACAGTCTGTTATAGAAGGAATGAACTGAAAATTGCTGTCTTAAATACACATATCAGTATTATCTTTCAAAGTATTGAATCAATATATTTGAAATACTATGCCCTAGACATGATTATTTTCCATTTTTTTAGAGGAAATTTTAGGCTTTTAATAAAGAGAATCTCTAATTTTTTCAATTAACATGCATGTTGAATGGTATATAAAACCAGGGAACTAGGCAAAACTTAGTTTTTTATTTTATGAAATTCTTATGGCTTAGGCGGGCACCTAGTCAACTAGGTCCTAGGTCCAGGCACAGCTCCTTGTACTAGATCCAAGTGTCTCTCATTTATGTATACATTTTAATTTAAATCTTATAGTTTCAAATTATTATTATTGTTTTTGTTATGGTACTCATGTGGAAAGGTGTCTGTCTTGTTTTAATTAAATTTTGGACTTCTTAATTATGGTCCCTTAATATGTTATATTTCAAACTTATTTTTCAAAGTTCTTTTGTCATTAATCCTTTCTTTGCATCAAGACCTCAAGCATCATTGCCTTTATAATAAATGCTTTCTTATTATCTTTGTTCTGTTTATATCCTTTTTCCATTAATTTCTCCTTTTCTCTTTGACATTTGAGCATTGTTGCCTCTTTCTAAAATGCTGATACATGTTGTAGCTCTGAACTGAACCGACTGAACTTTCAAGGATTCTACACAGTGCTTTTGGAGAGGGAAGATGAAATAATATCTGTGGCTACTGTCAGGTATGCAACATTGTCACATCATGCATTTCTTTTCTTTTTCTTTCTTTCTCTTAGGTTATGATAATCTGAAATTTGATTGTCCCTCTGTATAGGGTCTTTGGTGAAAAAGTTGCAGAAGTACCCCTTATTGGTACTCGAGTCCAATTTCGCCGAATGGGGATGTGCCGCCTTTTGATGAATGAGCTTGAGAAGGTTATTTTCATGAACAACTAACTACATAAATATCTAAGTGTACCTAGGGCTGCAAGTTGGGTTACCCAACTCGAAGAATTTCAAATACATCAGGCTCAGGTTAGGATTTGGGTCCATTGAAGATTTAACAAATTCCTAACCCAACCCGACCCAACTTGCACCCCTAACTGTACTTACCAGAAAGAAAATAAGCTTACATTCAGTACTTTTTAATGTCACAGTTCACTATTCCTCCTTTAATTTATTTATTATGAACAAGTTGAGTATTTTGTGGCATTTAACTATCAAAGGCACATGGATCAAATGGTGATCCAGATTGGATAAAGATCTGAGTATAGTTAAAAAATGAATCAATTCTAATTTAGATCTTTTTTTTTTTTGCTTCGGGATCTTAAATGTTTAGGTTGAATGGATTTGTCTCACATAATATGGAAATTATGGAATTTGTACATAATGATCCAAATCCAACTTAATTACAGCCTTGTCTGTAGTATTGTTGTTAAGACTGTCTTGGTTGTTTTGAAAATGTGCAGATTGTTGAAATGTCTTGAAACAAAGGATAATAATCTCTGCAGAAACATTGTGGCACAGAAGCAAATGTTGTTGCTATTTCTTAAATTCATTTGTGATTTGCTCACCCTTTATATTCTATATTTACATTGAATGGCACTGGAATTTGTATGCCTGTTCATATATGTAATGTGCTGCAACTTTAGAAAAAAGAATGCTCAAATTGGGAACAAGTTGAGAAGATAAATTAGTTTGTGTTGATACAATGCTCATAATGTTCTTCCTTCTGTTTTCTGTCAGAAACTTATGGAGTTGGGGGTAGAGAGGCTGTTTTTACCTGCTATTCCTCAAGTGCTCCATACATGGACCACTTCCTTCGGGTTCTCCACGATGACAAATTCTGAAAGACTAAAGTTTCTGGAATACACATTCCTGGATTTCCAGGACACCACAATGTGCCAAAAATTGCTGACATAAACATCAATAAAATCACAATATCAGGAGGTATTCTGGGGTCCTTTCTCTCACTTCTGGAAAGGTTAAAGAAGCCTTTAAATGGATTGTGTGTTTTATTCATAATATGTATTTCTGCCTGTTTTACAGGAAACTAAAACAAGCTTGAGGCCAAGTTTGACCAGAGTGATGAAAATCCTGATTATGAAAGCTGCATTGTTGTCTCCAAACTCCAAAGTTATTCGGGCATACCACATTAATCAAAGTGGAATCATAAACAAAAAAACAATTGAGTACGTTTCCCTTCTCATTTCCTCTAACTGTTCTTCACTACAATGTACTTACTATGACTCATGGCCCCTATCTGATGCTGTGTAAAGACAACAAATTATCCACACATGGCTCACAAGATTGTTATTTATTTATTTTCTTTTATGGGAGGGTTGTTCTTACAATGTTTATGAGTTTACAACTCAACCATGAAAACAGTTTGGAATAATAATACATGCTTATTTTCATCCATTCAGTTTATTTCTGTGTCAGCCACACCTAGGCAGCTACCCTTGTTAGCCAAAATAAGGTACCAAGAAGAAATGTTACTGAGGGAATTGCATGCTTAATATGATTCTAGTTCAATATAAATAAGTAAAATTATGGGTATATGCATGGATATATGGATCGCATGTACCTTCATCATTATCATCCAAGCCTTACAAACTATAATTTACCAGATATGTCTAGATAATTGAGTGATAATTTATTAATTTGGTTGGACATAAATGTCTACTGAAGGTTGGCATATTCATTATGTTCATGAACATTAACAATGACTTTGCGTGTAAAATAAGGGGGAAAGGAAAACCAATTTTTATCATTTTTATAATTTCAAGGATGTTTCATGTTATTGTTAAGAAAAGACCAATAATAATATTGAAAAAGAAAAAATGTTGTTGTCTTTGTTTCTACAGCTGTAGACAGAAGAGACAAATCCAAGTTCTACATTGCTGGAAATTCAATTTCATTGAGTGATCTAATGGTGCAGTGTGAATGATCCAAGAGTTGGAAAATCATCAGATCCCAGCAGAACTGATCTAAGTCTATTATGAAATATCCAAATTTTATGATGGAACCACATGCTTCTAGTGCCATCTAAATTATCCTGTCTAGTATAAAACATCTCTGCAAAGTTGGCATGGATCACAACTAGTATGCCAATTAGGGGGAGCTTGTCATTCAATTATGTCTACCAAGGAAACACCAAGCATGCATTTAATACTCTCTCCTGTCAGAAAAAGGAAAGAAATAAAAAATAAAAATAAGAAATTCAATCTTTTCTTTCAAAGTTCAAGTAAAGTTATAAATTTCGAAGATGAAGTAGCACTTAAGATGTAGAAAGAAAACACCATTTATCTTAGACAATGTATGGTAGAAAGAAAACACCAATTCTTATGGTAGGAAGAATTGGCATGTGAATTTCCATGACCTTGGTAAATCATCCTGCCTCCATATTTTGGGTTTGTAAGATTTACTGGTCATTTCTTAATGGTGATTAAAACATTGACCTTTGTTGTCATGCCAGTATTACTCCAACTCCAAGCACTGGCAGCAGTTTCTGTGCAATGGTCAGGACAGCTCTGCCAAATTTTGTGGTACCATTTTCTCTTTGTCACGTCTGAGCCATTTACTACTTGTCCTAGGATGATCCTCATGTTACTTCTAGAGTGCTGACCTTGTTTCATTTCGGTAGGTGGGGAGTTGAACTTGAACACAGGCAATCCCACAGTGATATCAGCTTAGGGTGTGCTGGGCTTGGAAATATTCTGAAAGACAAGAAGACGAACTGCTTCAAGTGCCATAGGAGGAGGATAATTATTGGCTTGTGGGAGCTGAACCTCTTTCGACATCCACAGATGACTAGATGGTTGATCTCCAATGTGGCCATTACAAAGTTTAGATGGATTTGACTGCAAGATGCATAGTCGGGGGAGCTGAACCTCTTTCGACTTCTTGTGAATTTGACTGCAAGATGCAAAAACAGGGGCTTCAATAAAGTGTTTGTTATCAGTCAGTCACTAAGGTTCTTCAACCTTGAAGGGAGCCGCCCATCAAACACTAGGGTTTTCAATTTTGACACCTATACACTAGGGTTTTTTGTTAGAGGTGCTCTCAAAGAGTCTTTGGGGGCGGCTCCTGGGAGCCGCCCATCTGGGTTCTCCTTCCCCTTCCTCCCTCTGGTTTCTCTCCCTCCTCCCTCGTTCAAGTTCTTTGTTTTCCGGCGAAGGCAGTCTTTTGGTTTCCTTCTCTGTCAGTTTGTGTTTCTCCGGCAGTTGCTATTCATGGTGAATCCTATTTGCGGTTCTCCGGTTGACGCTGTTCATGGTGAGTTCCGTTCTCTGTTTTCCGGCGATGGCAGTCTTTTGGAATCATCCTCTGTCAGTTTTGTTCGCCATCTGTGGTGGATTGGAGATGTGCTTGTTTACTTCTGTTGGTGATTTGACTTTACGGTTTCTCGTTTGCAGAAGATCTTTTGGTTCTCCTTCATCCATCGTTATATTTTGTTCTCTTGAGAAATTGTTTATGGGTTTTTGATTGGCCTTGTCAGATTTTTTTGTATCAATTTCTTGATTGAATGAAATATGATGCCTTATGGCGATTTCAAAAAAAAAAAACTAAGGTTCTTCAACAATGAGAGCATGTTATCAATTATGAAAGCCTTTTTTTTCCTGTTTGGTTAAATGTATAAATTCTTTTGTTGTGGGGGATGTGATTAGTTATGGACGCTTTGTTTAAGTTCCATATTCCCGTACAATTTGAGGAATTTTATAGATAGTGAAGGTTTCAAAATATAATGTGTACTTGAAGTTATCAACTTTATCTTCTTTTGTCCCAGAGTTCAGGTTTCAAGTTAATTCTTTTCTTTTATGGTTGTGACTAATGTTTGGTTATCTCTCCAAAACCTTATTTCACGTTTTTCTGTATCAACAATTGGACAACATTTAGCGGATTAAATAGCCATATAATAAAAGAATACATAAAGATTTTCAATTTAGCGGATTAAATATCAACAATTGGACAACATTTAGCCACCACCCCTGACCCAACGAAAAGAATACATAAAGTTTTTCCTGTTGAGTTTGGGTCTAAAGCTATGTATGTTGTATTCAATTTAGCATCTCTCTAATACTTATTAAAAGAAATCCTCTCTCTCTCTCTCTCTCTCTTTCTCTCTCTCTCTCACTTGTTATATTCATTGTTGACTAAAGGTAATCTTTTCTTTCTCCATAATGTAGAAAGATCCTCTGTAAACTACTTTTCCTATCTTTTATTTTCAACAAAATTCCATTCTTTTAAAATTTTTAACTTTATATTGAATATTCATTTTCCTTTATTAATCCTCCAACAGATTTGGGCTTTAAAAGAAAACTCTTTAAGATTTACTTTTTAATTTGTGATCATTGTTCCAATTCCAATTATAAATGATGCATTGCTAATATGCCCATATGGATGGTATAGAATAGTTTGAACTACTATTGGTATTTTAATTCCATGGAATTCAGCCCATGTAAATTTTATTTACCATTTCTATCTTTATAGTTAAAATACTTGAATATAATTCTAATATTTATATATTTTAATTTGCAAGTTCAGCCAATATGTTAAGTGGAATTGCATTGGAAGATCTTCTACATAATTAGAGAATTTGATTTTTTAAGTTTTTGTACTATTCAATTGGATATTGTATTTGAACAATTTCTTTTGGATATTTTAATATCTAATTTTTGAATTAATAGATTTCATTTTAAATTGTTTTTTATTTAAGCTGTCTAAGTTTTCATGTATCAATTTGTCAAATGGTTGGCTGTTAAACATAAAATGCTAAATCAATAAAAAATTCAGGTACCACAAAAATGCTGAAATTAAAATGTGTATACTTTTTTTTTTTCCTGAAAAAAGAGGTCTATGCTAGCGGTTGTGTCCGACAACTTAGCTATGAACACAATAAAAAAATTGTAATTACATATGATCTAGAGTGGCAGTCAAGGACCGCCAGCTTAGCCAATAACAATACCAAATGCAGCGCGGCCTTCCCTACCAGTTTAATTATAAACATAAGCGAAAATGGTGGCTACATAGGACTTAGGTCGATGTCTGCTGCCTTAGCCGCTAACAAGATCTAAAGTGGCAGCCCTGGACCAATGTCTTAGCAAGGCTAAGCCGGCGGCTTTAGGGATTTTAAACCGCCTTGGACCAGCCAGTTAAGGCGGTGGTCGTTTCTACCTAAACTGGCGGTTCTGGTGTTTTTCTTGTAGTGACAAACTCATAGATTAAGAAAAGATATGAATATGTAGTGTAAAAGAGTTGAAATTATATATATTAAAAGAATATATGAGGTCAAGCTTCCACCTAAATTATAAAATTCAAGGAACAAAGTTTTATAAAAATGTATCAAATGGGCCATTGGACAATTAAAAGGTGAAAGACAATTTTAAGTGCAATTAAAATAAAGAAATTTTGTTATAAGATTTGTCAAATAAATGAAAATAGAGAAAATTCTGAAAGATATACAATGCTAAAAATGAAGGTATAAGCTGAATATTTATGGATTAGTAGGAATGCAAGTGGGATTGATCCCAAGTCTACTGGTCTAGGCTTCTAGGGTTCATCTCTTCTCGATGGACCAAATGCCTTGTGGCGTGTGCAACTAACAGACCAGATCAAAGATTATTTTGGGTGGAGTTGAGACCAGTATGCGATCTTCCTGGCCCGACAACTCCACTTTTATTATCTGGTGCGTCACTCGGGCTGCTTCGCGACCGTCTTCCAAGACAGCCCATGGATCCATTTGGTTGTATCGTGATTAGGTAGGTGGGTTGACACTTGACAGTATATTCATATTTGACTTCTTGGACTACCTTAATTTAGGTCGTGTTTGGTTTGCAGGAACAGGGTTTGGAATTAGAATGGGAATGACCCGATTCCAACTGTTTGGTTGGATGGAATTGAAGTCTCATTCTCATTCTGATGGAATTGCATTCTTCCATCTCAGTTGATTTTAATTCTCATTTCGATTTCTATCTGAACCAAACAAATTATAGAAATAGATTGTTCCGAATTCTGATTCGGATTCCACGACTGCATACTAAACGGGCCCTATATATGGTTATATTACAAGAAATACAATATGGGCCCCTACTTGCTTGGCCTTTTTTTTTTTTTTTTTTAGTGGCCCACTTGGTCATTTGTTATTCTGGTTCTAAACCCTTCTACGTAGTAATGGGTTATGGTCCACTTGCTCAGAAGACTCAAAAGTGGAATTGATAGAAGTCTGTATTGGGGTTGAGTTCAGTTTAGAAAGGTTGTTTGCAAATGAAAGCATATTTCATTGCATAGCGATGACGTACATAATAATCCCAAATCCCAAGCAATGGAAAGATGAAAGGATGATGATATAAAAAAGAAAGAGAAGATCAGGTTCTGTATTATCTCTTGGTGAAAGAAAAGCAAGGAACACTTCCCTTTTCCTTCTTTCTTCTCTTCAAGGATTCTCTTGCCCCTCTTCTCCATTTAAAAAAAAAGAACCTGATCCTAATCCAATTTCAGAGGCTCAACCCAAGAGATAGAGAGAACAAATATCCATAAACCACTTTCAGAGGCGGTGTTACACACTGCTTTCCGACTAACTTCTAGAATAAATTAACCAAAAGAAAGTTTTGAAGTAAGACTGGGAAGAACATATTACATACCCCACCCACTAGTGTTTTTTTTTTTTCTAATTATTTTATAACATTCTCTCAAAGGACCCACTAAGTTGCATGTCTCTCAAATTAATTTTCATGTGCTTGCTTGTTGTATGTGATGTGTTTATCTATGGCCTTGGTGTTTGGATGTTCTTGTCCATTATTATTTTTATATGTTTGTAAAATGGGCTTAGAAATGTGGGCTCAAGGCTCAAGCTAGAGTCTAGCCTAGGTGAAGGTGACACCCCCTCCCCCCCCAACCCCAACTTGCCTCCGCACTAAAAAATGCAACAATAACAAGAGTGAGGATCAAAGACGACAATCCATGGGCCCAAGGCCCATCCCAAGTGGCCTGTCTCTCCTTTGCTCTGCCTCTGCGTTGTCAAAGGCAATAATAATATATCAATGGCAGCTCATATATTATTAAAATGCATAACTAACACCTCAAGCTGGAATCCGGAAAAAAAACCCTAATCCCACAAGTCCCCATTAAGAAGCAAGAACTCCGTTCCATCACCCATGACCCATGTGTGTATATTCATGTGTGGACATAGCTCCCTCAGCTAGTCAGCTGCCCTTGCACTTACATATACCAAAAGTTTTGATCCAAAACCTCCACCACCACCACTCTCTGCCGCAAATTTGTCACATCACCGACAAGGAAGAGACATATCAACCTTGATAAGGGTATTTCAGTAATTGTAAACTCTTAAAACTCATGGAAAATGACCAGAATATCCCTTCTAGGCCCATATGCTCTCACCGCCACCAGCCCACCACCGCAAGTGTATAAAACCTCACATGAAGCTGGATACCCCGTACCTACCTCCACGGTTCACATGCAACAGGGATACAACAACGGTATAGATTGATGCAAAGAATTGAAATAAATAAATAAAGGTCTCTCTCTCTCTCTCTGTGGTGTGTGTCCACAGTCCACAGCCCACAGCTCTGTTCCTCTAATGGCTCTTGCCTCTGTTTCTCCTTCACCTCGATACGTTGTTGGATGCTGTTTATTGAGTCTATACTTGATTCTGATTCAATCTCACGTAGCTACGTCGGCTCTACTGGTTGGTTTGAAGAAGCACCACAAGAATAACAACCAGAACGGCAGACCATATATCCAATCCAACGAAACCGCCTGTAACCTGTTCGTTGGCAGTTGGATTCGCGATAATACATACCCGATATACCAGTCCTCCAACTGTCCCATCATCGACCCTGAATTCAACTGTCAAATGTACGGTCGACCGGACACCGATTACCAGAAGTATCGTTGGAAGCCTCTCGACTGTGAGCTCCCCAGGTACGTAAATGTTTATCTCCACCATCCCATTTTATTTTGATCATGCATGAGATATTGAGACGATACCTCTTTAATTTCTACCTTTTGATGATGAGTACGTGGCGTTTGTAGGTTCAATGGGCTTGATTTTCTGGTGAGGATGAGAGGGAAGACGGTGTTGTTCGTGGGGGATTCGCTGGGGCGGAACCAATGGCAGTCTCTGATTTGTATGATATCCACGGCGGTTCCACGGTCGCCGACCCAATTGGTGAAAGGAGATCCTCTGTCCACATTCAAGTTTTTGGTAAGTTAAAGGACTCTCTGCTGCTGCTGCTCTAGACGCCAGATGTTCAAGCTTTCTCCTATTTTGTTTCCATTAGGCATTAGCGATAGAAATGACCTGAGAGCTGGCGGAGAATCCAAACAAATCTTTAATCCAGTTCATATTTCTTGGTGATAGGAATACGGAGTGTCTGTATCGTTCTACAGAGCTCCATATCTGGTGGACATAGACGCGGTGCAGGGGAGGAGAATTCTGAAACTGGAGGACATTTCCGGTAATGGGTACGCCTGGAGTGGTGCCGACGTTTTGTCTTTTAATTCCGGACACTGGTGGACTCACAAGGGAGCTCTTCAAGGGTATGTTAGCATTGTACGAATTATAACAATACAATTCCTTCCAAATTAAATTATTCAAATTTAGTGCTGATTCTGCGGTTTTAACGCAGATGGGATTACATGGAATCAGGAGGATTACTGTATCAAGACATGGATCGTTTGGTTGCATTCAAGAGAGGAATGAGAACGTGGGCTAAGTGGGTTGACTCAAATGTCGACAGAACCAAAACCAGGGTTTTCTTCCAAGCTATCTCACCTACACACTACAAGTAAGACTTCTCTTTCTCTCTCGCGCACACACAGAGACACTCGCATACTGACACAGTCACAGAGAGGTGACAGAAGATTAAAAGCAGGACAAATGGCCAATTTGTGTTTCAACTCTCAACTCCTTGTTTGCTTGTTCGGTTTGGATCATACAAAAGGTTCTTTCCTTAATGATCATGAGCTGGGCTCGGCTTATATTAATATTCCTCTCGTTACGTAGGCTGCTATTTTTGGAAAGGTATCGTGCTTTTGTCACGGATTCACGTCAGAATTTACTTTCCTCCCTTTCTCTTTCTCTCTCTCTCTCCCTCTCCCTCTGCACTGTAGTTTGTCTTTTCTTCCGTTCTATTTCTCAACATTCAGTCAATGTTCACGTGCACTGCCGACGTTCACAAATCAGAAGAGGGGTTCCCTTTTCTAAGATTACCACGAAACACGCAATGTATTAACCAGAGTCTTGTCTAACTCGGAGTATTGGATTAGAATACCAATCAGGGCTTAATATTCGAAGGTTGGATAAATAGGAAGTTCCATAGTTTCTGAATTCTTGTCGGTGAATCCTGCAGTACAGATTAACCTGCATCATGTCTAGTGTCAAGACAAAAAAGGTTAGATTCTTCCAAGCTCATTGTGTCCATTGTCCAATCACATGTGATCGAAGCGAAGGAGAGTCCTTGCTTCATGCTTGAAAATTGAAATAACAATTTTAATGTTCTTTTTTTAACAGTGTATAATCCAAGTCTCAATGTCCTGCTCTAATGGTGACTGTGATTTGTGATTGTTGTTGCCGCCAGCCCTGCAGAATGGAATTCAGCCGCTTCGGTGTCGAAGAATTGTTACGGGGAGACAGCGCCTCTTAGTGGAGCAATCTACCCAGGAGCCTACCCAGATCAGACGAGGGTAGTCCAGGCCGTGTTGAGAGACACGAGCACCCCCGCCTATCTGCTCGACATTACGACCTTGTCGGAGCTCAGGAAAGACGGTCACCCTTCCATCTACAGCGGGGACTTCAGCCCCGAACAGAGGGCAAACCCCGATCGATCTGCCGACTGTAGCCATTGGTGCCTCCCAGGCCTACCCGATACATGGAATCAACTATTCTACACTGCATTGTTCTTCTAATTAGTCGAACTATACATGTAGAATTTTGTCATTCACTTTGATTGGCGTTAAAAGCTTTGTCATAAGATGATTGATTCCTCTCTCAAGAATTAAAAACCACATTCTCGCTAATTGCTTCTTATATTTTATTTTATTTAATTTCCTGTAAAGCAATAAGCCAGAATTAACAGGGACTCCATTTTTTTCCCCTGTTGAGTATATTGACTTGGGCCAGTCTTGGCTTGGGTTTACGAACTCTAACTGCTTGCTGGGACCTGGGTCTAAATATATGCGTATATTATGTGACGATAGAGCATAGTCCAAAGTCCAACCTCTCTACTGGATATGAACTGTGTTTGATTCTTTCTAAGAGAAAGAAACCTGTGATGTGATATCCTCGGTTATCAACATTGGTGCCATGTAGAGAGCAGAACTCTCTCACCTTTACCCAGAAGAAATCAGGATAATGCCTCCTTAAGAAAAAAGAATAGAATAAAAGTGGTTGCCACTTCTTTAAACTTCAGAACCTACCTTTCATTTCCTTTACCTTTTCCTTCAAACCAAACATAGCCTTATATTGTTATATTCTTTTGGGGTGAACAAACCTCAAATTTTCTAACTGTGAAAAAGCAACGGAAGGATAATGTCGTTGAACCAACAGTGTAGTGTCTAGACTCTAGCTAGGTACGTTATCCTAAAATTCCAACCAAAGTCAAAGGATGATGAGATGAAGCTCTTTTGTGGGAAAGGTTTCATCAGGCGAACGCTATTCTTCCACCAAACACCCCAGGATGCTAACATGAACCTCATTGGCTGTCCTAAAAGCTTAAGCTGTCAGCTGTGAGGACCCTAAATATATTTTTATTCTCTAACACATCCCTGCTGGCCTGCACCGGAAACTCATTGAATACTAAATCACTTGACCGAACAGGTTCTCAGTCTCATACCAGTTTAAAGAACCATTCAACCTAAAAGCTTAAGCTTAAGCTGTTAGGTGAGGTTCCTAAAGAAGTCTTTATTCTCTATTTTTGATTAATAAGAAGTCTTTATTCTCTAACAATAGCAACCTTATTTCAACCTTCCTGTGAGAAAGAGGATGCTTAAACCTGAGTTGAATGAACATCAGTTGACAAAGAAGATGATGATAGAATCAGGTTCTGGATGAAGAGAGCTGATTTTTAGTGTGCATGCTCCTTAAACTGATTTTGAAGTGGATATATCAGTATTTCTGCAGTTCGCTCGAAAAATAACGAAAACCTATTTACTTAGGCCCAGTTAGGAAAGATTACAAATAAAAAAAATATACATATAAATAATACAAAATACAAGGCTTTGCACTCTACTACTCCTTCCAAACTAATCCTTATGAGTTATGATGAAATAGAGGGGGTCAATTAGCTATGTCTTCAACAGCAGAATTGTCTATCTTAAGTTTCAAGTTTAATTCTTCCTAGCATCTCTGACTGTCGCTTTTGGGCTTTTCTTCTTGAACTTTTCGAGTCCTCAATTAGTAATGATCACTCTTTGCTACTGCCTATAATGCTTTCTTTTTCTTCTCTATATGACTGAAAAAAGAGATATACAAATTTACAAAATCAAATTAAGGTAGCCCAAAGTTCAAATGAGGTTTGGGCTTTCATCGATTAAGCGAGTTTTATATTGGAGGCTTTCGCTAGGTGAATTGTATCGGTGTTATTTTGCTGACAATTGTTTTTGGGAAGCTTCATTTAGTTAAAGGGTAAGGCCCTCTTGGGCTTGGACTTGGAGCAGTATCTTGTGGGGGTAGGAAATTCCTTAAAAAAGCTTTGGTTCTGAAGAGTGGTGAAAGTGAAATTGCTTTCGTTACCCAACCTACCATTTGGAACAAGACATATATAGTTCAAACTAGAAAGCAGTTCCTCTTTCATCAACCTCCTATTAAAAGTGTTTGATTAAAACCCTATATCTCAATACTATAGTCACACCCTGGAGGCTACAAGAAGTTTCCTTTTTCTGTTTTTTCCTGATGCAGGATCCCAATATGTATTTGTATTTTAGTTGTTCTTCGTAACCCTTTATTACCCAAAAAGAATATAGGCATTGGAATATCAAAAAATGGAAAGATGAACCATATCTACATATTTTAAGTACATACATACATCAGGGAACAGCCTAAATATTGGAAATAAGGCTCAGTTTGGAAGGAGTATAAATATAAATATGTAGAGTGCAAAACCTTATATTTTATATGTATTTGCACCGTACATATTTGTATTTGTACTCCTTCCAAACTGAGCCTAAAGTACTCTCGCCAATATGGGTGCTGGAACACTTGTTTGCACTTTGCAGCCATCCTTGTGGTGTCTACCTATTACACCACATTCTTTTTCTATCTGATGTAAATTGTCCTTTGGGTTGCAAGTGGAGAAGATCAATTATGATTGATTGAAATTCTATCAGCACTGTTGTGTCTTGATTTTCTTCTCAGCTTTGGTTTTGATTTCTTCCATCAACTGTGTTGAGATGCATTGGGGCTTTCTATGCTAATATTTGTGTTTATAACTTTTTGCATGAGTATGTCAAGTTCATGAACAACCAATCAACCATCGTGTAGCTTTCTTTACATCTTGCTGCTTCTGCAGCAAAGTTCAACATGTCACCAGCATATATTATTAAAACGCATTATCTCACCCTTCAAACCTGTTCCTTGTACTTCAGTGTGCGCCATTTATCTATAATGTGGTTACTTTTGGCCTCAATGGTCCACCGTCTGAGGAAGTCAAACATCTAAGATATGATGACACAGAATGCCCACAAAGTCAAACATCTGGCAGTTACAACTTACCAAATTTTCAGTAGAATTAAGGCTATGTTTGGTTTAAAGGAAAAAGGTAAGGAAAGGCAAGGAAACCTATACAAGATTTGTAAAGGTTTTTTTATCTTTTCCTTCCTTTCCCTACTTTTTCCTTTAAACCAAATACAGCCTAAATGTCACAGACCAAGTCCTATTTCCTTCATTGTATTTTGACACCATGAAAATGCTGACTACTTCATGGTGACACCATGAAGTCACCATGAAAATAACCTTTACTTTCAACCATTTCAATCTGATATCTTTTAAATATTTCGTGTATAAAAAGGGCTGCCTGCTTTTCCAAAGGTGACTTCTTTGTCTTTAAAATTGGGTAGGTGTGTATTGTCTCAAGTCTGCTTCATTTTCCCTATCATACTGATTCTATTTAGCTATATCATACAGATGAACAAACTGTTTCATATTGGTCCCAACATCCAAGTATGCACCAAAGAATGAGCTAATATGATCAGAACTCTCATCTGTAGGTATGCCTAAAAAATATTTACCCTTCATATATATTGGACCCATTTATGGCGATTTTCATAAAGCATTTGAAGCCATTCATTGTCCTGTAGATCAATATGGACTTGTAAGTGATTCCCATCTTCATCTGAACTCATCACTTGCATCATTCCCAAAAATGCATTCCTCAAAATGTCTTTCAGACCACCAATTTTGGTAAGATTTGGTGGTCTAGACCATATAATGAACATCCAGGAGGCAATTTCGGCAAGCATCATCTAAGCCTGAACACCCAACTCAAAATGATTAGGTCTGCAACATGGGTGGGCCCAACTTAAGCCTGAACAGTTCCAACTTGCAATTTTACATGGATTGGACTTGCATTTTCGGTTATAGTGCTGAGTTTGGGTTCAAAAATTTGTTTTGTTTTTTTCCAAGTTAGACCTGGGCCTAACTCTTAGTAGCCCTAACTTGATGATGTACATGCATATATGCATTCACACACACAGTTTTAAAGTGGACTAATTGATAAACCCAAGCCCAGGTTGGGTTTGGATACTCTGGACCAAAAACCACAGTTTTTTTTTTTTTTTCCTTCTTTTTGATTGGGTCCAACCCTAACCTTGAGTAGTAGAGGCTAGACTGAACCCAACCCATGTCCTAATGTCCAAATATCTTAACTTTTGTCACTTTTTTTTTTTTTTTACACAAATTGGATTCTCTGACTTAATGAGAGTAAGAGCATTTACCTAAGTTCAGTCTAGCCCCTATTATTTTTCATTTTATCATTTATTCAAGCAAATGCATTTACCCAGTCTTTTGTTTCTTTGCTAAAATAAAATAATGATTGTTTTATCAATAAAAAACCATTGTTAAATAGGACAATTTTGTCCATCACGTTTTGACAAATTTCCTGTGGAAAAGTTATTTGCCCATTTGGGAGGGTAAGTGATATTGGAGAAAAGTCATTTGCCACGGGACCCATGATTTCCAGAAAATAGAACATGAATATTAAATTTGTGGGGAGATGTTTTTAATGTGCCGCAGGATTCCCACGCTTCAAAGTGGGTTCAGAGTTTTTGCTTGCAGAGAATCCCGTTGCACTCAGAGATCTATGATGATCAAAGTACTTTTTATTAAAAAAAACAAAAAATAAAAATAATAATAGATGCAAGACGGTTTTAGATCCATTAACTATGAAGGTATGAACCTTGAAAAACTTAAAGGTATATTTATTAGGGGCAAACGGTTAGGTTTACGACGATGCATGAGTGAATGTGGAGGTGAAATTCTGTAAAAGAATGGCTTGCTTAGCCAAGAACAAGTTGAAATTTACCAAAATTTGGCCATCTGATTCGCTGCGTCGAGTCAAATAATGAAGATGCCCTTATCTATTACCAAATTTACCAAATCTCAGCCGCAAGAGCTTGCTGAGACAAGAACAAGTTGAAATTTACCAAATTTACCAAGGACCCTATTCTAGTAGAAATCCAACTGAAACGATTTGACCACCAGATCCATCAAAACTATCTGAATTTCCTGAAATGCTGAAATAATTTGGTTGGTATCGTTTTCGACAACCAGAAAGGAGAAAGTAACTTCAAGTGTGGGGACCTTGTGTGTGTTTTTCGCATCAAAGCTAACGTGTATCCTCCGTAATGCAAGAAGAATTGCATCGGGCCCGGCAAACGGTTCATTCAAATTTTAACAAGATCCCAATCCGAACCCACCCAAGTAGAACCCCTACTTCCATCCATCCATCATGAGCAGAGTACACTGCTTGAATTAAGTTATACTAGCCACACAGAGCACCAATTTGATGGCACAACAATTTACATGGAATATATAATAAGGAAAACTTTTTAACAGATGAACAAAAAAGCAAATATATATGGAGCAATACGCAGACTGCATACATTGGTATTTGCCCAGAGTACTGGACACATTGAACCAATAGATACTTGTAAATTAACCAACAAACTTATCAAAAAGAAAAAAAAAAAAAGGACAGAAAACCTCTATTCCAACTTCCATTGACCATGGATATCACTTATACAACATTTTGGACCCTTTTTTAATAGGATTGCAGAGCAAAGCAACTAATCTATCTCACACGATACTTTTCTGCTAAAATTCTGGTCTAACATGTTCCTCTAGAAAAGGCATTAGCTTCGGATAGTTAGGCCTGGAGAACTTATTTCCACTATTCTTGGCTTCTTGTTGATGAGCTTACTTGGGACCTTAGGCATGGTTGTTGCGTTCAACTGTTGTTCATAAGCTGAGGCATGGACTCCTAATGCAGCCCTTCCTGAAGGGTCAAGATTATTAGACCAAGCCGAGTCCCACTCAACGGCCTTGGCAGTGCTGCAAGCCACACTTGCACCTCCTGGAACGGTCAATCTTGCTGAATTCTGCATGGTCAAATAAAGGGATAAGCATTACCACTGCAATCAATTTCTTTTTAGGCTCAGTTTGGAAGGAGTACAAATACAAATTTGTAGAATGCAAAACCTTGTATTTTATATTATTTTGTATGTATTTGCATAGTACATATTTGCCTTTGTACTCCTTCCAAACTGAGCCTTATTTCCAATAAAAAAGTTCATTTGTTAGTTCAATTGCTTCACCTGTGGAAAGAACCTTTCAAAGATCATTCTATAGTAGTAAGCTTCTTTAGTGGTAGGTGTATTATGAGGGAAGATATTACTTGCATTAAGCATCATCTTATCCATCACCTGTGACAAAATGAAAATAGTTGAGATGTAATAGAGTATAAGTATGTGTGTGTGTGTGTGAGAGAGAGAGAGAGAGAGAGAGAGAGTACATGTTGTGCAGCATGGGCCTTGAGGCCATCAATCCAGCTATACCCAACACCATCGCTAAATTGCTCTTTTTGCCTATAAAGAATATGCTGTAGAAAAATGAAAACATCATGTTAGTAGTCAAAATCTAATTAAGGAAATAACCAAGAAGGCTGAAAGTTATGCTAGACCTTTGGCAGATAAGGTTGTTCATCATCATCAAAAGCCTTCCTGAGAACCCACTTTTCGATCCGTCCCTGATCAGGTTTTATCTATTCAAAATAGACACATTCAGAGCAAGGTTCAGAAAAAGACAACATTGAAAGTAGAAATGCCTGAACCTTTTCCACACACCATCTTCCACTCAGGATCAATATCCATTGCAACGTTGATGAATTCCTTATCTAAGAATGGCACTCGTGCTTCCAGACCCCAGGCAGAGGTTGCTTTGTTAGCTCTCAAGCAATCATACTGGTGAAGAGCCTTTATCTGTGAGTTTGGAAAAAATGAGATCATCTGTTGGCATCTCTCTCTGTTTCCTTTACAGGACATTAGGTATGACAGAAAAATTTCAGTTAGAAGCAAAATCTTTTACCTTCCTACAGGTCTCCCAGTGGAACTCTTCCTTGTTGGGAGCCTTGTGAAAATACAAGTACCCACCAAATATTTCATCAGAGCCTTCTCCAGAGATCACCATCTTCACTCCCAATGATTTGATCTTGCGAGACATAAGAAACATAGGAGTACTTGCCCTGATTGTAGTGACATCATATGTTTCAATGTGATAGATAACATCTTCAATGGCATCAATACCATCCTGTGACACCCAGAAGAAAAAAGCATGAACTTTTTTTTTTGTTTCAAAACAATGTGAATAAATCATTTTTCACCTCAAGAAGTATAAATTTAGTTTGAATACCTGAACTGTAAAGTGAAACTCATGATGAATGGTACCTAGATAATCGGCAACCTCTTTTGCAGCTTTCAAATCAGGGGAGCCCTGAACATCAGAGTAAAGACTAGAAACTGAGATGCAAAAGCATTCTAGAGCAATTCTATTGTATTCGTCATGAAGAAACTATTAGGACTAACCTCCAGGCCGACACAAAAGGAGTGGAGCTGTGTTCCCCATTGCTTGGCAGCCTTTGTGCCTGCAAAATATCTAGCCGTGATGGAGGCAACTAATGATGAATCTAGACCCCCTGATAACAGAACTCCAAAGGGAACATCAGTCATTAGCCTCTTGATTACAGCCTGCATAAATTAGAAAGAAATACATAAGAAAAACTTCACTTTGCAAGTGGAACTTCAGGTTTATACATGGATTTACATTTGTTTTCCTTTCTTTCTTTGTACAGTTTAAGCATGTGTACGTGTGTTGTGTAACTTAATGAGATCTGTTCAGTAATCTCACATTCTCAAAAGCACGTCTGAGGATTAGCGGATCATATGGAGTTGATGGAATAGCCTCAGAGAACCAAGGAGGGTTGTACCATCTCCGCATTCCACCTGCTTTGCTTGAGTACAAGTGACCAGGGGGAAAGGATTCAAAATGTTCACAATCATCATTAAGTGCTTTCATTTCAGATGATACCCAAATTGATCCTGAAGACAAGCAGGGGAGTGTAAATTAACTTCTGTTCAGAGCTTTGAATTTGTAATTAATCAGAAATATTGCCTACTTAGCTCACGGGTTAATGAGATATACCATCAAGTCCCCAGCCGATATAGAGGGAGGTGATCCCAATGGCATCTCGGGCAACAATGAAGCTGTTGTCTCTGGTGTCAAATAACACAAACGAGAACATTCCATCCAACATGTCCACGAAATCCTCTCCATACTCCTCATACTGCAAAAGAATGTCCACAAAGAAGAGTTGCTTCAGTTGAATGTAACTTGTAACCACAAATTCAACAATAAATCGAAAAAAGTCAACCAAAATAAATTTGTGAGACAGTTCAGAAGAACACAACATAAAAGATTAACAGAATTTACTGAGATTAGCTTTAGACATGATAAACATGCAGGGGGAGAAGTATCCGGTATCTATTATCCACTACTGAAGAAAATAAATCCATTATCCAATGGATCCCACCCAAAGGAATATCTTGAGTTGATTCTCAACCTCCCCCCCCCCCCAAAAAAAAAAAAAAAAAAAGAAAAGAAAAGAAAAGAAAAGAAAAGATGAAAGATGTTTGATTTGACACTTTCTTCTAAGCATTAAAAATTAATTCCCGGTAATAAAAGAAAAATAATAAAGAAAGCATTATTAATTACTTTCCCATGTGAAATACAAGTATGATGCCATTTTTAGTCTTCATAATGTCACAAAAGACAGGAACCTTAATGAGATGGATTTATATACATTATAGAATTTCTCTGGTCCTTAGTTCTACAGCTTTTAGTCCTTAAAGCAGGAAGAGTATTTAACACAATATATATTGAAAAAAAAAAATCTTCCCAAGAAAACTCACCAGATGGGCTATAACATCACAATCGCTTCCGGTTCGGAACTTGTGATTGTGCAAGCGGCTTCTCAGTTCTTCATGGTTGTAGATCTCACCATTTACCTGCTCCCACGCATAAAAATAGCTTAGCCCATAATTTCCTTGACTGAGAACCATCTAAAACTAAACCAACTTTGAGATAGCACGAGTAAGTTTACTCTACACTACAGATGGGGTGGCAAGCTGAGCTTTTTACGAGCTGCTCAAGTTCGATGAATTTGGCTCAGCTCGGTTCCAGTCGAGCTCGAGCCTACTAGAGATCGGCTCGAATATATATATATATATATATATATATATATATATATATATAATAAAAATATTACGATTATTAATTATTATAATTCTTAATTTTTTAAATATAAAATAAAAAATTATATATAATTTTTTTCTAAATATTTTTATAGTAAAAAAAATTATAAAATATAAAATGAGCCAAGCCAAACTGAGCTAGAACTTATGAACTCTTGACTCGAGCCAATCTCGAACTAAAGGTTTTGGCTCAAACCGAATTCGAGCCAAACTCGAACCTGGTACTATTCGGTTCGGCTCGGCTCCAACCCTAACTACAAAAAACGCAAATACTTATTTGTACTGTTATTAATGTTGTTTGACTCACTGTAACGACGATCTTCTTATCTTCGTTAAAAAGAGGTTGGTCCCCAGAAGTTGGATCTATAATAGCTAGCCTCTGATGAGCCAAAAAGTTTCCACCGTGCTGGTAAATCCCACTCCAATCAGGTCCCCTGTGCTTCAATCTGCAACACTAATTTGTGTTATATACTTTCTTTATCCCCACAAAAAGCAACTTGAACAATACGGGTATATTGTTGCAGTAACTAATTAATACATGAAATAGCTTGGAGAATCCTTAAGAGGAGCTAAGCTAACAGTCATAAAGAACGTAGGTTGTTTGTGGGTATAATGATACTTGAATACATGCTTGTATACTCCCAAATTAAATATTAAACATGGGACCCAAGTTCCATCCTTGATTGAAATAAATGGTGACGGGTCGATTGCCCTAATTATCAGATAAAACAAAAGTTATCATTAACAAATAGGGAAAGAAAAAGACAAGAAGTTGCTCATGAGAGATAGAGACCTGTCATTCTGTCATTCTGTCAATGTTAATTTTAGTAGCCAAGTGGGACCTAGTCTGATGTCCAAAAAAAGAGGGGAGAATTTGAGAAAGATTTACTGAAAATAATGCTACTTTGAGTTCTTCAATAGCTTTCTTTCTCTCTCGGTCGTTCGTTGGTGGGTGATCTCTTTTTCTTCATTATATCAAATAAATTAACTATAGAGTGATGCTAGCATTGAGGAGAGGAACAGGTAACTGGCATCTGAACCGCCCGAATAAGCTTGAGTTGGGTACCGTATATGTGCCGTGGATCGCCATCCCGAGGCACATTTTTTGGGTGTTCTGGAGGCTAGAGAGATGGCCAGATCGGGCCAACCAACACTAACAAATACCGTCCAGTCAAGGTTCGTTATAGTTATACAGAGGAAAATGAAAACCAGATAAGTTAAAGGAGAAGAAGAAGTTCCTTAACGGATGAAAATAATAAATCTCAAAATTAAGCGAGGGAGAGATCGTTTCTACTGTCAACATGCAAAAAAAAAAAAAAAAAAAAGAATAATGAATGAGAGAGATTGCCTGCGAGAGAGCTCGAGCACTCGAACCCTTTTCGCCTGCGAATCATCAGAGCTACCCAGAACTGCAAGTATCCCACACATGATCTCTCACTCGCACTAAAAAAACAGAAAGGGACGGACGGAAAGAAAGGCAGCTGGTGCGGCGAACTGAAAACTGAAAAGTGAAAAACACGTATACAGCCCAAGTATCCCAGAGACGTCTATTTATAGCAAAAGTTCTGCGATAGAGGTGGCCCCCCCCTACTGGCTTAAACGACGACGTTACCTCGCGTCATGTGGAAGAAAGAATATGCCCTATATGCCCTATGCCCCTAATAACATTCATTGCTTAATCCCTTCCCAGTTCCCCCACGGGAACCACCGGACGATCGGTCTCCCTCTCGTCGATGATCGCCACGTTGCGTCACCTGGTTCGTTGTCTTCGCCTCTCCTCTCCCTTATTGGCTTAGTTCCCTATCTATAGTTTTCTGCCTCTACTTTCTTGGAGACGTTTATCCGTTTGTAGTTAGGTGGCGTCTGTTCTTAATGCTGAGTTGCTAACACAGTTACATCTCATCTCTTGCTCAGATTTATTTGGGCAGTCCGGCCTCCCTACTACTGACGTGGATTTGATACGGATAGATGCTAATGTGGATAAGGATGTAAAGTTGGGTATCATGTCTTTCCCGGCATCATAGATTTATTTGGAAGTGCAAATAATGGAACTGAAAGTGCTGTGCGTCTCTCACTCCACTACATGTGACTCTGATATAACTCTTCTTGGTTCGTTTGAACTTTGAAGTGAGATCTGCTTCTCAAACAGCGCACCTCACATCGACCTTACAGGCACATCCCCATGTATTGAGAAATGAAAATATTTTTTCTGAATAATAATAGATAAGTATGAGAGATGTTCTTGACATATGGTAGGATGTTCTTGTGAGATTGGTGTGAGTCAGAGTTGCCCATCAGGTTATCAAGCCAAAATCAAAACGAATCCGTGGATCTGCTCCTCACATCAACCACACAGCATATTGTAGCCATACATCAAGAATATACCTTTATGAATCACAAGGTACAAGTATAGAAGATATTTCTTATGGGCCGATGCAATGTGCTATACAGTTGATGTGAGTAGTAGATCCAGTCTCAACTAAAACAAGATTTATGGTCAGTTTGATTCATAGGAATAGGGATTTAAAATTGGAATTAGAATGGGCCCATTCCAATTTCAACTGTTTGGTAGGAAAAATTAGAATCCCATTCCTATTCTTAGTGGAGTACCATTTTCCCATTTGAGGGAATGACCATTCTCTCCCCCTCCTTCAGGAATAAAATCCCATTCCAATTGATTCTAATATTTCCATTTTAAATGATGTCTGAAGTCTGAACAAAACAGACTATAGAAATAGGCAAATTCAAGTCTGATTGTAAACCAAATGGACCCTTAGATTGTAGACTAGATGGTTAGAAGGATGTAGACCTGACTACTCCCTGTTGGAGGATGATCTGACTTCCAATCGAGCAGCGAGCTAGAAGAATCTGCAAGACAGTGGATCAGAGAACCTAGGGTGGCTAACCCGGCGAGGTCGCTCCGATGCTTAAGTTAGTATAATGTAGTGCGAGCTGAAAGCTTTGAGAGCTAGAGAGTAGAAAAATCACGCGTACCTTGTGTCATTGGGGTTGGTGCCTTTATATAGTTGAGCTCTCGCGGGTTTTGCGGATCGGTTCCGGGATCTTCGTCCTGAGGGGATCCGTTTCCGCTTTAATTGGGGAGTAACGTATCAATTAATAAAGTTTATCAATTCCGCCCGATTCAGGCGGGGAGAAGATTAGGCCTGCCGTTACGCGGCGTGATCCCGTGAGGTTTAGGGTCTACTGGAGAAACTTCCGGAGTCGTTATGTGGCGGTTCGGGTTGATACCCTGAGCTGATACTTCGGTTCTTTAGTTCCAAACTGGATTGAATTCCGAGGTGCCCCGATGCCAAGGTGACCCTGTGCCAAGGTGACTCTGTGCCGAGGTGACCGAACACCCGAGCTCAAACATTGCGAACTAGTCTTGCTAGGCTGAGTTGTCATCCCTTGGTCAGGTCATGTCCACATGTCCTCTTCTCGCTAGGTGGGGACATCCGACAGAGTTACTACATCTTTCCTCTCCCTGGGTTCAAAATCCTGTTCGACAGCCCGAACAAAATACCGGCCTGGAAGGGGAGATACTTTTTTGTCCGGAACCCTGAGGGGTGGCCCTTCCCGACTCACTGGCGGGTGGCCATTAAAGACCCCGAGGTGAGGCTAGATGCGGAGACCAGGGCGATCGTTAACACCTAGAGGGACCTCGGCCTGGAGATGAGAGATTTCTTGGCCGAGGAGAAGCTTGCGCGAGCTAGGCTGAGCCCTCCTGGTAGGCCTCCACCTCAGTGCTCATATTCTTTTTTATTTTGAATTTTCTTCAGTTCGCGACTAACCTTTTCTTTTTCTCTTGCAGTAGCCATGTCGGAGGTCGATGCAGAGAACCTTCTGAGGAGCTTGCAAAGAGGAAAAAAAAGGAAGGCCTTGCTGGGAGGCCGGTCCTTTTGCCCTCGTCTTGCCCGAGGTCGCTGCGCCAGAGCCGATCTCTGCCGAGCTTCCAGAGGAGGAGGTCCGTCCCCAACCTCCTATCGTGGACCTAGATGAAGACCAGGACGAAGGAACTCCACCTCGCAAATCAGAGAGCATTTCCGCGCCCGAGCCTCAGCTCTCGAAGGAGAGCATAATGACCCCTCGAATCGGGCTCCTCAAGAGTAAGGATTCTGTATTTTCTGCCGAAGTCACAGAGTGGGCTGACATGCCCACAAGCCAGCTCGGAGGCTGGGCTGCCAGCTACTGTATGGTGGTGAGTATTTTACCTTTATAATTCATTTCCTTGTTCGCTTTTTAAGGGTACTTACCTCTGCTTTCTTTTTGCCAGGTGAACTCCGCCATTCACTCGTTGGTCTACCAGTTCGAGGTCCGCCTGAAGCGATCTCGGGAAGATGAGGAGAACGCTTGGAAACTTTACGACGAGCTAGACTTAGCTCGGGGTGAGGTTCTTCAGGCTAAGAAAGGATCTCAGAGTCAACAGGAGCTGATCTTGGCACTGACTGAGGAGAAGGAGAAGCTCCAATACGAGAACAAGAACCTCAATGCGATGATCAAAGAGTGCACCGAGATCTTCGAGACCGCCATTCAAGAGGGACGAGCTGAGGAGAGAGAGCGCGCCATCGAAAGCTTCAAGGAGTCTCCAGAGTTCCACAATCTCCAGGTCGAGTACGGATCGAACTCTTACCAGTCTGGCTTCAAGCAATGCAAATGGCTGATGTGACAAGTTTTCCGAACTGGACCTTGGAGTTGTTTTCATGCTTGACCTCACTCCCGAGATGGCGAAGGAAGCCAACGAAGAACCCAGCTCCTCCGAAGAGGAAAGCGACGATGAAGTCCCCGAGGCGGGCCCATCAGGTCGAGAGGACGCGAAGAAGGATTGCACGGACATTGACCTACCCGGTAGTTTAGATGCATGATTCTTGCCTCTTTTCTTGGACCTTTATGATATACACCCCGAGCCTCCGAGCTCGGTTCATAGTGAAAGTTTCTCTTTTTTTCTTTTTTTTTTGTACTCAAAACTTCACATTAATGAAATACAAGTATTTTGGCTATCTTTGTGTGAAAAATTTTTTAAGTGTAGATAACTCCCGAACTGGCAAACTAAACCAAATAGGAGCAAGAATTTTTTTCTAAGTGTTGGTTACCCCGAACTGTTGAGCTAACGAGCTGGACTACGAGTAGGGATAACCGGAGTAAATTTTTTTCTAAGTGTTGGTTACCCCGAACTGTCGAGCTAACGAGCTAGACACCGAGTAGGGGTAACTTCGCATCATTGTACGCCGAGGTGGGCGGACACTGTAGGGTATATACCCGACCTGTCCGCCGAGGTGGGCGGACACTGCATCATTGTACGCCGAGCTATCGGGCCCGGCTTCAAATGGGATCAACCTGTTGTTATATGCCGAGGTGGGCTAGACATAGTAGGGTTTGTACCTGAACTATCTATGCCTCAGGCGTGAGGACTGGTTTGCTTATGCCAAAGAGGCGACTAAGACTTGTCTACCCATGCCGAAGAAGCGACTAGGACTTGTCTGTCCATGCCGAAGAGGCGACTGAGAATTATCTGCCTATGTTGAGGAGGCGACTAGGACTTATCGTAGTCCCGAGATCTTATGTCATCTTGGCAACATGACCCTTGGGCTACTGGAGTGACTCGTAGTCCTCTCTCCAGTTCGGTGATCACAAGTAGTACCTTTCCCGAACACCCGTCTTACTCGGTACGGACCTTCCCAATTCGGTTCGAGCTTACTAACGCTGGGCTCAGGTACCATATCCTTCCGAAGAACTAGGTCGTCGATGCGGAAGTGTCGCTTTTTGACCCGAGCGTTATAGTACCGAGCTACTCTCTGTTGGTAGGCTACAGTCCGGATGTATGCCAGGTCTCCTACATCTTCTACTAGGTCTAGGTTGGTACGGAGCTCGTCATCATTCATCTCCTCGTCATAAGCTTCCAAATGTAGTGTAGGCACCTCGATTTCTACTGGGATCACCACTTCTGTGCCGTAAGTGAGGTTGAAAGGAGTCTCACTTGTGGCAGTCTTGATGGTAGTCCGGTAGGCCCAGAGGACACTAGGTAGTTCGTCTACCCACAACCCCTTGGCTCGAGCTAAGCGAGATTTCAGTCCGCGAAGTATGGCTCTGTTAGGGACTTCCGCTTGCCCGTTCTCCTAGGGGTGTGCAACCAAGGTGAAATTTTGTTGAATTCCCATTTTGGCATATCAATTCTGAAATTTAATATCCTTGAACTACTTCCCATTATCGGAGATGAGTACCCGAGGTAGCCCGAAGCGACATACTATGTTCTTCCAAAAGAAGTTTTGTATGTTGCGGACTGTGATTGTTGCCAAAGGCTCAACTTCCACCCACTTCGTAAAGTAGTCTACTGCTACGATCAGAAACCTCCTCTGTCCTATCGCTGGTGGGAATGAGCCAAGGATGTCAATTCCCCACTACGCGAAGGGCCATGGGCTAGTGAGGTATTTTAGATCGGCAGTAGGTCGGTGGTGGATGTTGGTGTGCCTCTGACACTTGTCGCACTTCTAGACGAGCTCGAGCGCATCTGCCTTCATCGTGGGCTAGTAGTAGCCTTGCCACAATGCCTTTTGTGCGAGAGCCCTGTCCCCAAGTGTCTGCCACACAAACCTCCATGGGTGTCGCGGAGTACGTACTTGGCCTCTGAGGGTCGCAAGCAACGCAAGTTGGGGAGCATGAAGGACCTTTTGTACATCTATCCGTCTATAAGGACATACTTAGCTGACTGGCACTCTACCCTTCGGGTCACGTTGCATTCTGCAGGGAGGGTCCCGTGAAGCAGGTAACTCACGAGTGGGTCGATCCAACTCGATTCCGCTTGTGCTACGGGAGCGACCTCTACTCCCCCCCC